TTATAACCAACAGAATGAATCACCATCAGAATTATTGCAGTTTCAGCTCACAGACACTCCAGACTAACAACTTCTGAAAAGATAACTACAACTGCACTTGTTTTAAGATCTCTATAATTAAAAAAAATAGAAAATTTAGCAGGCGCTGGGTAAATTTTTGAGCAGAAATGACCCAAATTCATAAAGATATAACATTTCTTAGCATTTACACATCAAACAAAGGCATATCTGAGTAGCCTAGGGTCTCCTGATAATAACAACATACGGCATGTGTGACTGTCACATGTAAATACTTTTTAATTGTACTTGTAACTGACCCAAAAATTACCAAAAAAATTCCCTGAAAGTTTCTAAGGGTTACATATTTTATTTCTGACCCCGGTTGCAGCCCTTTGATATGTAGGCTGTATGAAGTCTGGGAGATGCTTGTGATCAGCAGATGGTTGTAGAGCATGTTGTCATAGTCATTCTGTAGTTCAGTATAGTTGGGTTTTACACTTTTACACACACAGAGCTCAGCTTTTCGAATGAGACCAAGACCAGCAACGTTTCGCACATTTATTGGATGCCTGATCAGCTCTTCTTGGCCCCTCGGTGGACATTGCCTCGATTCAGATCCGTCTAACCAAGCGTGGCACCATGAGCAAGGTTAAGACTGGGAGGAGAGGTTGTCTGACAGCAGAGCTGGAAGAATAGAGGGTCTCTGAAGTGCTCAGATGTGTAATGAGTTGGAGCCTCTGGCAGGGCGTCCTTCTCTGCGGGAAACGTGTAGATATGTCTGTGTCTGTCTCTCATGTGGAAGTCGGGGCAGCATGTGATGCCAGTTATGACTAAGTGCTACTGCTTTTGATCTCAACTTGTTGCGGAAAATGTAACATGCATTCATCATTTCCTCGTGGTCTTGAAGGGAAGGAAGAAATGGGGCAGTAGGAGAGGCCAGAGCACAGTGTTTTCTTTCCATGCATCCTGTAGGGATGAGTTTGCAAACAATTTGTTCTTTTTGTACAGATCTTTTGGGCGAGCAAAACGAACTGATTCTCCTCCTTGAAGAGGTTGTTCAGCTCAACTGTACCCAGTGTAGTGATATATACATTAACAAGTTCTGTCAACGTTGGTAAAGAAAATTGAAATGGTTTTTAAGCCCTCAACCTCAAACAGTGTAAATCTAGAGGATGTCCATCAAGTGGTAATTTGCAGGATTGAGCTATTTAGCCAGTGGAACATAATCATCGCCATCGTCATCCAGATAGGGTCGCAGTAGCAGTTGGGAGAGCAGAGAATCCCAGACGACCCCGTCCCCGCACAACTTCCTCCAGCTCGTTTCCTAGGACGACCCCGGGGTCCCAGTCTTGATCAGGTGCCCGAACCTCCTCAACTGGCTCCTCTCAATGCGGAGGAGTAGCAGCTCTACTCTGAGCTCCTCCCGGATGACCAAGCTCCTCACCCTGTCAGTAGAGTGTAGCCGCCACCCTGTGGAGAAAGCTCATTTCCGCTGCTTGTATTCGTGATCTCATTCTTTCGGTCATCACTCAAAGCTTATGACCACAGGTGATGTTGGGGATGTAGACCGACCGGTAAAACAGAGCTTTGCCTTATGGCTCAGCTCGCTCTTCACCACTACAGCCGGTACAGTGGCCGCATTACTGCTTCTGTCTGTCCCAGCCTGCGGGCGATCTCACCACCCCTTTTCCCATCACTTGTAAACAAGACCCCGAGATCCTTAAACTCCTCTACCAGCGGAAGGTCCTTTCCCCTTACCTGGAGTGGGCATGCCATCCTTAGGACCATGGACCAGCTGCAAACTGTACTGTACTGTACTGCATTTGGCAGACGCTCTTATCCAGAGCAACTTACAGTTTGATGACCTTGACGCTCTGTCTGTGAATATCACAAACAGGAGTGGAGACAAGGCACAACCTTGGCGGAGTCCAACACTAACACAGTATGAGCTTGACTTAAAGCCGAGTACACGAACACATACGTTTAATGACAGGTAAATAATGCACAACATTAATACTTCAAAACCAGATGCCTTGATTTTAAAGGCTTTGCCCGGTTGCTTTGTAAAAACGGTGAAAAATAAACATATCCGCAAAAAATGTTATACGTATCATTTACCTTTTTTCCTCAAAAACGACTTTAAAAGGAGTGTTTTGTATTTTCTTTTTATCCTGTTGCCTTTTACCATTTTGCTGATTGGGTGCGGACCTCAGTGGATTGATTGACAGCCTTTGCGTCAAATGCAACCGCCCATTTAGTATAGCACACGATGGAAATCGGATCACATCAGCGTGGCCTTGCTTCTGTGAACCTGAACAGGGAGATTCTGAACAAGAACCTGTCCCTTTACCTGAAGATCACAGCCCAGTAGCAGCTTCCAGTGGTACTGCTGACAGCCAGATTCTTGTTAGAATTTTCCCGTTCCACCTTAAATGGTGCAGCAGTTACGTTTTTGCCCCTGAGGCTTCTTAATTAATTTTCCCTTTCCACCTTAAATGGTGCAGTGGCAGATTGTAACTGCTGATTAGAATTAGAATTAGAAGCTGGCGAATATTACCCCACAGTTTCTAATGCTTGTCCCCATTACGGAATCCCTCATTCTCATCTTCACATCATGACATCACAAGGAGCAAATCATGTCTTTTTGAATGAATCTTTGGGGAAAAAAAACTGTAATACCCTCAGTTAGCCCTGTGTTTGGTTCCCTGACCAGACTTTCTCCAGGCAAAATGGCTGTGTTTTTCTCTACAGGAGTCTCTCTGTGCTTGACTTGTCCTGCATGCGTTTAGCATTCACACATCGTTGAGTTCAGAGTGGCTGTCCAAGCAACCTCCTGTCCGGGTCACCTGTCTTGCACACACGTGCACCGTCACACTCAGTGACCCTGTCACCTTCTGTCAGCCCTTTCTCCTCTTGCACTCACCACCCAAGGCCCTGTGCTCATTTTTCATCCTTCTCTCATTCATTTCATCACCTTCTCATTAACACCCCGACCCTGCTTCTGCTAAGAGGAGGGGTTCACTTTCAAATCCACTGCAGATGATGGGGCTGGGCGATATGGCCAAAAATGTTATCACGATAAAAAATTTCATATCAGTCAATATCGATACATAAATGTCAAATCGGTATTGCTTTCAAGTTTGGAGGCTGATTTTTGCTCCCGAGTGGTTAATTATTGTTTTAAACTATCCTTTATGGTCATAAACATGACAAACACTCAGCAAACAGTGGAACATTTCACAAATCTGTTACGGGACAGTGAGAGAACGTTTCTGGTGAGCTGTTTTTACCAGCTGGAAAAGCACAACCGCAATTTTTATACTCATGATATTTAAGCAATAGAACACGGAGGAAGTGTGTTATCCTGAAATAACATCACGGCTGTGATTTGGTCGCCGTAGATCATCACAGCCATGATGTTATTGGCGATAACACACTCCTCGAGTGTTCTACTGCTTTAATACAACAGTTAAATAAATAAAGTAATAAATTAATAAACTGGGCCGTGAACGCGGCGTTTAATATGTTTTAATGTTCGCAGTTCCTTCACCAAATTATAGTTCCTTAACGAGCAGCTCGTTGCTACGTCAGAGTATCGAGCTCCGCCCACTCGCTGCACAGCCGGCAGTTCATTCTCCAGCTCCTTACACTAAATTCCCAAACTGTCATCACCACTGAGCAGCTTTTCAGTCGGCAGCTGTGACAGAAGAACAGCTAAACAACCTGGAATCAGCCAGAAATGAACCAAATGGCAAAATAACAGCGTGGTTAGAACGCTTCTCAACCAATCAGTTTGCGTGGCCGGAACTAACTGTTGTATAATGATAATTAAAAAAAACAACAACAAAAAAAAAAAAACATTATTTTTAGCTGCCTGGTGACGAGCGCTCGGCTATCTGGTTACAAGTGCTAAACTGTTGAACATCATCAGTTTAATACGAACAGCAAACATTAGCTGTCTTGGTACGTCAGTGATGGATCACACCGCCTTACTGCCATCACTCCTACCACATCCATACAGCATCATCAGGTTACTTTCGTTCGAATCAGTGCAGTGCGCTCTCTTTCATTTTTGTTGCCTGTGAATGCACTAATCCTAAAATATGACTGAGCGCTGTAACAGGGCTGTAGTTGTGAGTATCAGACGTGATTTAACGCTCCTAAAGCTCGTTTGGATGTTAGGAAGGAGGTGAGTTCACTGTAGGACAGTAGAGTTACACCACTGATCTCCTCACTCACACTTGGTCACAGGAGAGCAAATCACCGATCGCTCACTCAAAACAGGGAATATGTAACTCCGCAATTCAGCCGTTGCTAAAGTATATCTGGTGACTCCTTTTATTTGTCTAATCATGTGAAAAAACTCAGAAGTGCGCCCTCTTGTGGCGACAGCACAGTAGTGAACAGAAGTGTGAGAATGTTCTATTATATCAGACGTTTATCGAACATTTCTTATATTTCTATCAAGGAAAGTTATACCGCGATAATTATCGTTATCATTTTATCGCCCAGCCCTAGCACATCACTTTTCTAACTTGACTTATTAAATGGCTTTTCATATGACTGAAATGGTCTTGGTAATAAAGTGATAATGAAATGCACAGTATTTGGTGGGTAGCTCTACCTGCATGAATAAACAGTCAGGAAATGTAAGACAGTATTATCAGTATTTATTGTCCTGCCGTAAGCTGGTGTAAATGACAGCCTTCCAGCACTGTCGTAGCTGTTATGGTGCACATGTAGAGTTATTCCCCAGACAGACATTGTGCTGCAGCATGTTTCAGGAAAAAGGGCTTAATGATGTCATAAGTTGGCTAACACAAGACTACATAATGGCTTTCAGAGACTTGCATGCCTTCATTGACATTCAGAGGGGTCAACGTGATGAATAAAACATAGACTCATCTGAATATGGTTAACACGGACAATGAGGGCTTTAGTAGCTGTCATTAGTGATGTTAACACAACTGATCTCCCTCTCTCTCTCTCTCTCTCGACAGCGGTTGGTCGTGAGGATGGACGAGTTACAGGATGTGCAGTTGACGGAGATTAAGCCTCTTCTGACAGACAAGGTTAGTTCTCCATCACACACCTACACTGATTCACAACTTCAGAAACAGCCCACCTTCCCAACGGTTATGGGTCGGCAGTATAATCGGTTCTTGGGTGCGTCTCGATTATTACTTAATCTCATGAAAGTTTCTGCATCAGTACACAAAATGTCATAATCAGGATTTTGCATATACGTTTGCGTGTGAACGTTACTGATATAACGATGCTGAGGTTGTAACGATTCACAAAACTCGTTGTTCGATATGATACAGTGGTCTCTCGATATGATAGTGTTGATTTGATATGTAAACGGTGTTATCTGACAAAGCCAAATTTTTTTTTATTTTTAAAAGCCCAAAACTTTTATTTGGTTTGTGTCAAAAAATGCCATTTTGAACAGGAAAACACATAAGTAGGGATATAAGTCACACATCAGTCATGCTTTATGGCTAAGGCTGGAGCTAAGGCTCTGGACTAAAGGCCTCAGCATACTTCTTGCAGAGACAACGTTTGTTCGCCGTGTCGCGCACATGACAGCTGGGCGAACTCCGTGGACGAAGACGCTACGCGACAAAGCCTCTGATTGGTCCGAGGCGTGCCATGAAACAAAGAAGACTTTGAGGAGCTTCGGCTTTGGCAGACACACTAATATTTCACTGTGAAACGCGCGTTTTTTAAATAAACAATGAATATTTCCTCAATGTAGGATGTTAAGTCTGTTATTCGGTAGTGGTAACCAGTACTAAGCACCAAAACGTAGAGGTTATCTTATATTTCGGTTGACAAGAGGACGAGGCTGAAGTTGGCTTTCTATTCACCAGCTTCTTGTTCAAATTTCTGTTCCACCTTAAATGGCGTAGCAGTTACATTCACCTGCTGCACCATTTAAGATGGACCACAGAGAATGAATGTGAGTACTTGAATGTTGAAACTGCTTAAAATGCCCATCCCTGCGAGTAGCTGTGATAAATTAGTTAACTTTAACCTTCTTAAACTCTGTGGAAACCCCAGTGGATCCAAAACGCACTTCGTCACATTCTTTACTTCATAACTTTTCATATTTTATAAGCTACATTCTAAAGGTGGGGGTCGTATGAGAACTGTAACTGTCTTCTTTCCAGTCAAATAGATGGGTGATGTAATTTTAAACCCTTGTAATAAAAGAAACTGAACTCACAATTTTTTTTTTCTACTAAAAGTCGACCCATTTTTCCACAAATCTGGGCTACAAACTATAAACAGATGGCGTCTCTTCAGTGATCTGCTCTGTAAACATTATTTTTTATAAAATAATACAAAGAGCGTCTAAGATTTTTGGCTTTCAGCAGTAAATTGTAAGCATATAGCAATATGTGTGATCATAAAACACATGTTCTGTTAATTTGAGGGGAGCTTGTACAAAAAAAACCCCCAGAAATTTACATTTATCTCATGCATTTACTGAATAATTTGTCTTACGATTTGTGCTATGCCCACGAGCATAAGAGGTTAGCCTTAATCTGAAGGTCTTTCTGGGCTCTAACTTGTCCCCGTCTTAAATGCATCACCAGTATTTTCTTGCTTTTTACTACGTCTCTGGTGATGCAGCTTTTTAGAAGGATGCCGAAGATTTTTAGATTGGGATCCATTTGGTTTGCCTGCTTCCATGGTTGCAGCACGCTGTGTTTGCCTGCCAATTCGTTTCGTATCTGGCAACCCGGGGTGTCGAAATGGTACTGGGAAATGGGCAGTGGGTGAGATCACAGGCCAAAACACAAACAGACTTTCCACTCCGGAACGGAAATATCAAAGGAGAACATGCTGGCTGTAGCTTTGTTGTTGGAAAAGCCAGTATTTCCACTCATGAAGACTTCAGGATGTCTTTCTGATGACCTATCATGGTCATTTTATGATTTAGCACAGTAATTATATTACATATTGTTCCTATAAGGTTCCACCTTAAATGGAGCAACGGTTACATTCTGGCACCCATGAGGTGTTTGTAAAGAATTAGTTAGGTGGCTCCAAACTACAGAGCTTTTGGGATACATACTCTTATATACACCGGTCAGGCATAACATTATGAGCACCTCCTTGTTTCTACACTCATTGTCCATTTTATCAGCTCCACTTACTATATAGGTGCACTTTGTAGTTCTACAGTTACAGACTGTAGTCCATCTGTTTCTCTGATACTTTGTTAGCCCCCTTTTACCCTGTTCTTCAGTGGTCAGGACCCCCATGGACCCTCACAGAGCAGGTACTATTTGGGTGGTGGATCATTCTCAGCACTGCAGTGACACTGCCGTGGTGGTGGTGTGTTAGTGTGTGCTGCGCTGGTATGAGTGGATCAGATTTTTAAACACCTCAGTGTCGCTGCTGGACTGAGAATAGTCCACCAACAAAAATATCCAGACAACAGCGTCCTGTGACCACTGATGAAGGACTAGAGGATGACCAACACAAACTGTGCAGCAGCAGATGAGCTATCGTCTCTGACTTTACATCTACAAGGTGGACCAACAAGGTAGGAGTGTCTAATAGAGTGGACAGTGAGTGGACACAGTGTTTAAAAACTCCAAACTGTGTCTGATCCACTCGTACCAGCGCAACACACACTAGCACACCGCCACCACGTCAGTGTTACTGCAGTGCTGAGAATGATCCACCACCCAAATAGTACCTGCTCTGTGAGGGTCCATGGGGTCCTGACCACTGAAGAACAGGGTAAAAGGGGGCTAACAAAGTATCAGAGAAACAGATGGACTACAGTCTGTAACTGTAGAACTACAAAGTGCACCTATATAGTAAGTAGAGCTGATAAAATGGACAATGAGTGTAGAAACAAGGACGTGCTCATAATGTTATGCCTGATCGGTGTATACTTTGAACACTTAAGTGTATTAATGGACCACTGATATGTCTGGACTAAGCATGCATTCAGTGTATTGTTATCTGACATGATTAAACAAATCTATAATAAGCACTTGCTGATCCAAATTCTGTTCAAAATGAGCTCACAACAAAAAACACAGTGCTTCCAGCAAGAAAGGAAGCCTTGTGCCAGTTTATTAGAGCCTTCAACATTATAATAAAAGGACAATATTTGAAACTAAAGTTGTACTTTATACTGTGCTGATCTAAAGCTCCATCCACAAGCTAATGTTAGCACCACACTAGCACACCAGCCACAAGCTAATGTGCTAGTCATGGTATGATACACTTCGATACAGTTCGATGCCATGCAATACTCTGTGTTGTTACATCCCTGCTGTTTGCACTGTATGCTTTATTTTCTACCACATGGCATAAAGAAAATAAAGTTCAAATGAAAGTGTTTGTTTATTATTATTATTTTTATTATTATTTTATTGGTTTTAAACTTTTTATATTATTTCTAAACTTTTAAGGTGGTAAAACAAAGACATTGGCCTGTGCAACAACAAGAGCACTGAGTGTAGGCTGCATTCAAATGAAGCAAGCTAAAGCCTTGGGTTCACTGCACGACTTTTAAAGTCTGAACAGATTATAAAAGACTGGATGTCTCACACTGTCACACTGGTTTTTGCAGATTAATTGGGCGAAATATTGGGGATCACACACTAAACGATTAGGGATCACACACTACTCAACTTTCCAGCTGCTGCTGAACCAAACGGAGCTCCCTGCAGACCCAAATAAACAAACGTGGAGCTGCTGCTGCTGTTTTTTCTGCCGTTAGCGCTGAAACAGTAAAGAAGCAGCAGGTAAACATGTTTAAATGAGGGGCACTGGTTTAAAAATGTGATCAGTGTGGGATTTTTAGAGTTTTAAATGTACATAAACTCAATTGTGCGTTAAACTCAGCTCATTAAAAAGCTTCGCTCCACACGTGAGAGACTTTTTTTTTACCATTTTTCTTTGTTTACTTGCTGTATTTTCTTATTTCATGCCCTCTGTTTTCATTGGCTGTTGCAGGAATGCGTTCAGATTGAGTCGTTGACCAGTTTACACCAGATTTCGCTCAGAGTCGGGTTGAAAAAATCACGTTTGATAAACTCCGACTGGTCTGAAACACGATTGGGAGGCTGTAAATGTGAGTCTGCGCCCCTCAAACACGACTCGACTCTCTCTCCAACTGTCGACTCCGACTGACCCAAAAACCTGCAGACTAAAGCCGACCAGCTCAGACTCAGTCAGACTGAAAATCAGGGTAATACTCGGGGTAAAAGTCGTGTACGCTGCCTGTGAAGATAGACAAGTATGGAAGCAATGAAAAGCGAAGTGCATAAAGAATGTTTTTCTAATTGCATTTTGGCACCTTGCATTGAAACGAATTATGAGCTGTCTAGAGATTCCCACCCTCATGACCGGCGCCTTGTAAAATTCACCTTTTCGTTCACCTTTTAAACGCCACTGCCCCTCAATCATCTCAGTCTCATGCCCCCCAATCTCATAAGTCTGATTTGCATCTCAGATCGATTCAAGGCTTTCCCCCTCAGGCTCTGCGGAGCTGCTGGTTACCCTTGGATACCAGACTGCTGCTTGCCGAGCTCTAGAAGCCGTGCTGGAATCAGATGAATCTGATCCACTATACGGATGCCGTCTGAACCCGGTTCTGCATCCATCTCAGACGGATGGTGTAGAGAACGGTTTGATGTTTCCTAAGCCAGTGAGGAACTGAGTACACCAGCAATGAGCTGATGCCTTACGAAACTCCTTTAGCAGAGGAGAAGAAGGCTGAGGATCATAGTTGGAGGAGAGAAAGACTGAATTTTTGTGCACTGAGGTTTTTATGGACTTGATGTGCATAATCATACTTGGTTATCTCAAAAAAAAAAAATTACTTCAGTGCTTGTTCAGTTTCGCCCACTCAGAATTAAAACCTCATATCCAGCAAAGATGCAGCTGGTGTCTAAAATGTAAAATCTGCTTATTACCATAATTGAATTGCACTGGATGAAGTGGTTGTAGAGCATTTCTAGTAGGATATCATCTAGAGATTGACCAATATGTTTTTTTCAGGGCTGATTAGTAATTAACATTAGTAATTAAGGACACA